AGTACGTAAATAAATATGACCACGTAGTTGTAGATTTTGCGAAGCATTGCTCTTTTTTTATTGCTTAGATAGGTGGACGAGTTCACAGCCCACCTGGTGTTAAGTGGTTACTGTAGCCCATAGACATCTATGACGTAAATGCGCCACCCACCATTGAGATATAAGTTCTAAGGTCTCAGTATAGTTACAACGGCTACCCCGCCCTTCAAACCGGAACGCATTACTGTTTCACGGCAGAAATAGGCGGGGTGGTGTTACCTACCCGTGCGGACTCATGAGAGGTCCTACCACCAGTAAAGAAGTTATCAAGTTTAATTCTAATCTTAATTCTGGAAAAGCTCTCACCTCTTAACTTCCCTTACTCTGTTTCCTGAGCTCTTTGACATGTCCTTCTTCAAACTAGGTTTGTGGAAAGTATATACTCAGCGGTAGGCACCGACTTGGCATTGCTGACGTCCGCTAACGACGGTAACTACTTCCCATCAGGTGGGCCGTATCCTCGTCTGCCTCTGGGCAGGGTGTTAAAAAAGAAAAACAAAATGTATAGTGTCTTGGGACACCGGATAGGAACGAAGTTCCTTATTATATTAAAAATAATTTTAAGTTCTATTCTAGGTATAAAGAAAATAATTATTCGGGTATACATTTTGTACTATGATTTTTTTATTGATAAAAAAAAACTACTTTACAAAGTTATCAACTTTATTTTATTCACAATGATCTATAAAAAATATATAATAATATTATATGTACTTACAAAGAAACAGCTATTTATATGAATAATGATATAACCGTCATCACGTAGATACATTAGACACTGTATAGCCATCATGCTAAGATATACATACTTAAATAATAAAAATCTTACGTTACGGACGTTTTTTTCCGGTTAGGGTACCCCTCCGCATCGTCCCATAAGGAACTTCGTTCCAAAAAAAAAAACTGACTTTGAAAAGTCTCTCAGATAACCACATCGAATTATCAATGTACGTAATAAACACAATGTTTTTATTGTTATCAGATTCCTAAATGAATAATTTGTTCACAAACATATTTGTTAATGATATTGATAAAGAGTGATTAATATAGATGATATTTTCGATCGATTAACATTTCTTACAAGTAACGTACTTGCGATGACACCATTGTTATTTAGATTCTCTTTGCTTTTTATTTTTGGGCTGATAATGTCTCGCGAATGTTTCCCGAGGCCCATAGAAACAAATATAGAAGTCATAAAGTGATTACTGAAAAATGAAGATATGCGACATAAATGCTGCATCCATTTCTCTATTTCTCCTCTTTAAAAACTACATTAAAATATTGCACACATCAAGGAAAGGTTGTGTACTCGAATTTTTATTTCTTTTTCCTTCAGTTACTTTGCCGTGACAATTATTATTTTTGTTACTGGCTTAAATACTTAACAAATTTAATCTACACATTGTCGCTAAGCTGTTTTTCTAAAGACATTACATAATTATATTAACAAAGACTCGAGTTTTCAGATTGGAATTTTCTTTACTGAATAAAAAAATAATTACGCTGAAATATGATTTTTGTTAAGACATGATTATCTACGGTAGTATGATGGCGCAATTTAAGTTAAAGTCTTTATGCAAAGTCATTGTACTGGATGCTTTAATTTAATTGTTTTCGAAGGCAGACGAATATATGTGGGACTGGGTGGTGGGTGGTCACTGTAATGGATGTGGAACATGCCAGGATCACAGTCTAGCCGCTGCCCCCGGCTGACCTCTTCGAGCAGTTTTTGAGCACTCGTAAACACGTTCCAATTTACCTTTTAAGTAAGTATAAGTAGTGAAGTTCAGGGTTAACTTCACTGCTTGTACTTTTTTACTGGTGGTAGGACCTCTTGTGAGTCTGCGCGGGTGGGTACCACCACTCTGCCTATTTCTGCCGTGAAGCAGTAATGCGTATCGGTTTGAAGGGTGAGACAGCCGTTGTAACTATACTTGAGACCTTAGAACTTATATCTCAAGGTGGGTGGCAGCATTTACGTTGTAGATGTCTATGGGCTCCAGTAACCACTTAACACCAGGTGGGCTGTGAGCTCGTCCACCCATCTAAGCAATAAAAAATAAAGGTTCCGGGTAGGGTTAATGGTAAAAGATCTCGTGGACGAAGCCCCATGCGCTGGAATGACCAGGTGAAAGACCTTACTAAAGTCCCATTTAACGAGTGCGTGCGCCAAGCCTCACTATAGAGAATATCTGTCAAGGCTATAATAAACAAGAATTCCACATGACCACGACTGCTCTGTCAAAAGTAACAGTCTATGATGAGTGAAGTCAACAATTGAAAGCTGTACAAAATTAGCTTATCCCTCTTTTTTGTTGTAAATAAAACAGTTTTTTTATAGCTCAAAAAATAATATATTATTAAAATACTTTTTACTGGTGGTAGGACCTCTTGTGAGTCCGAACGGGTACCATCACCCCGCCTATTTCTGCCGTGAATCAGTAATGCGTTTCGGTTTGAAGGGCAGGGCAGCCGTTGTACTGTTAAAGCTGGGACCTCAGAACTCTTATCTCAAGGTGGGTAGCAGCTTTTATGTTGTAGATGTCTATGGGCTCCAGTAACCAGCTCGTCCAACCATCTAAGCAATAAAGAAGAAAAAAAAAAAAAAATAATTAGGACTAGCAACCATAGAAATAAATAATAATGTTGTATCGAAATTTAAATATTAACGCTATAAGTAATTACATACTCGGCCGTGACGTTATTGAAAAATTAAATTGAATCTCGACCGCAATACCCGTGAACGCAACAGTGAAAACCCAACTCAAAATAAACATTTGTGGTTGTTTTAATCAGAACATTACGTAAATATAATAATGTGCAGCGACTTAGAAAAAAAAAAACAACAACATACGTTTTATAAATATAATACATCATCGTTCAACGAATCGAATATGCTTATATTATTAGGTATTTTCGTACATAATAAGTTCGTTGGTTTAAAACTGTTTGTAGAAAACAATATAAGGGTATCGTCTGTCTTTAGTCTTTGAAATGTTAAGGACGGGATAATTTTTTTAAGAGTTTTTGTGACCTGGTAACTAAGACCTTTAAGTCAAGTTTTATTAAAATTTTAATGGAAACTTTTTTATATGAAAAATGATATGAAATGAAAACGAAATGAAAAAGATAAGATGATGTGGGATGAAATCTCATTAAAATGTTGGTCATTTACTGAAACTTTTTCAGTGGACTTTTTAGAGGATCCCGAGAAGTTACGTTCAGTGGATTTGTTTCATTTCCCCACATTTGTGCGCTTTCACAGATACTAAACAGTTAATAAAGTACCGTTATTACACATTTAAACCTGAAGAAACACGAAATAGATAAAATAAAACAAATCACACAACGGCTGCCCCACCCTTCAAAGCGAAACGCATTACTGGTTCACGACAGAAATAGGGAGGGTGGTGGTACAAGAGGTCCTACCACCAGTAAATTTCTTCGGTTTCTTAAAGATTTACCGAAAGCTTTACTGGTGGTAGGGCCTCTTGGGAGTCCGTACATGTATGTGCTACCACCCTGTCTATTTCAAATAACCCAGTTTAAGTTATATAAAAATGAGTAAGAACACACACCGTGATATTTTGTTAAATAATCAAAAAATTAATCTAGCGCTTATTTTGTTTTAAGTGGTTTATTCATATGATTATTTCTAATTTATTTGGTAAATGAGTCGACTATTATCAAAGCCGGCAATGTGACTTTTGGACAATTATTGGTAAATCAGAAAAACGAATTATTGACTTTGTATTCCATTGGCAGTCACAAAACTCTTCTGAACGACATCTTAGATAAATAACAGGTTAAGTATTAACCTTTATTTAATGCAGGTTTTGAACCGTATTCTTTGAAGGAGACGATTATATTNGTATTCCATTGGCAGTCACAAAACTCTTCTGAACGACATCTTAGATAAATAACAGGTTAAGTATTAACCTTTATTTAATGCAGGTTTTGAACCGTATTCTTTGAAGGAGACGATTATATTCAAATCAATCTGTATTGACATATCAATAACATTTTTTTGTCCAAATGCACAGATTGCCACCTTTGATAATAGACGACTCAAATACACAATCCGACTGTTGTCGCAATTCGATTTCGCTTCTTTGCTCAAACCAAGAAACAAAACAAACAAACGTTTGGGTTTTTTCGCAACTTAAATATAAAATATATGTTTCAGGAGGAATTTTTTTTTCTTCCGCGTTCTTAATTGTATTGTAAAGATAAGAGGCCTAATGTATTCGTATCGAGCGATGCGGTTATGCCGATGCTCAAATCCCGCAGACGGGTATTAATTTTTCAAAGGAAATGCGTAGGCACTTACCGCGCGTGTCCACAAACTGACGTTGAAGACATTTTAACCCACAGACACAGCTCACGGAGTTTCTCGCCGGATCTTCTCAGTGGGTCGCGACTCCGATTCGGTAGTAGATTCAGCGAAGCACCGCTCTTGCTAGGCATAGTGTTAGCAACGTCCTCAGGTTAGAACCCCGTGAGCTCACCTACTCGTTCTGCGAATCTAGCATAACCCCTTAAGGTTACTAGAATAGGTAGAAAAAATACCTATGGCACTCTATGGGCTCCATTAATCATTTAACACCAGGTGGGCTGTGAGCTCGTCCACCCATCTAAGCAATAAAAAAAAACAAAGAAGTAATCATACCGTGTGCTAAAATCCAGACTCTCAATATATTACAATATTAGATATTTGTAATAACTGTATTTAATTAGTTATGGTTATTGGGATTGCTGTATTGAAACGCACGAAACCCTTAATGTCTAGTACCGTCCCCCGTACATCATCCACAGCTTATACAGTAAAGTATCTTCACATGACAATATTCATGTAAGGTGGGTGTAGTCACGACACGGCCATCCTGCTGTTTCTGCAAGTTTTCCCTAACCTGAAAACCAATGAGAGATTTTTTTTAATACTCAATTCTCACTTACAGAACACGTCTGGCAAGTTACCGTTCAAAAGAAAGGACTTGGCGCCTCTAAGAACATCCAGGGTCTGTACAACCTCTGTCTTACGGACAAGACTCTAACTCTGGTCAAGATCAAGAGTCACAACAACGTTATCAGCGATCTAGGGATACCCGAGCGAGTGGAGTATTCGCTAAAGAATATTAGAAGGTATGTTAGTTTATCAGTATAAATGAGCCCATCAGGTCACGGGGCATTTGGCGCTACAAAGCCGTTTAGAGCATGAGGTCAAGGTCTCTTGTAACGTTATCCTGACCTAACCGGAATAATTGCTTCACAACACAAATACGGATGTGCTATAAACCAGTACTGGTTTACAAACACCCTATCAGGATTATCAGATCAAGATACGCATAAGTCACAAGTAGTTACCCTAAACACGTCATTACAGAACCCCCCGATCCATTAACGGTGCTTTTAGGTACTTCAAGCACCGGTCACCGTCCTCGCCGAACCCGTCGCTTGCGAAGGGCTCGACGAGTAAATTAACCCATTGACACATCCCACTGAGTTTCTCGCCGGATGTTCTCAGTGGGTCGCGTTTCCGATCCGGTGGTAGATTCTGCGAAGCACTGCTCTTTCTAGGGCCAATGTTAGCCAATGTTGAGCCCCGTGAGGTCACCTACACGTCAAAGAGAAGCTGAAATAGCCTCTCAAGGCTATCAGTATAGGTATGAAAAAAAAAACCACAAGTAGAGGATGTTTTTTATACAAAATGCAAACTACGTTGTTGACCGATTGACGTTGTGGACCGATTGATCTGCACCATTTGCATGTTAATAAAAACACATGAACGGGCCGATATTTGTCTTAGACCTATAATTAAAAAGCGATAGTATACTCGCACGAGGGGAATTCCACACAATCGCCATAACACAATGCTGGGCGATAAGGTATTAACTATGAAAACAGTTGTTTTCGTCGATTATTGAATTGATTGTTTGTGACGATGTTATTGTGGTTTGCACCTGTGGCTTTACTGTAGTATGAATGTGGAATATAGACTGAGGTGCTTGTGGTCTCGGCGGTCCGTGCTGGAGTCATGGTCCAGGCGGCTGGCCGATCCTTCGGCTGGTCGTAGGACCGTCGAGGCGATTCGCCCGATTCTTGTGGATTGGGTGAATCGTGACAGAGGACGCCTCACTTTCCGGCTCACGCAGGTGCTCACTGGGCATGGTTGCTTCGGTGAGTTCCTGCACCGGATCGGAGCCGAGCCGACGGCAGAGTGCCACCATTGTGGTTGCGACTTGGACACGGCGGAGCACACGCTCGTCGCCTGCCCCGCATGGGAGGGGTGGCGCCGTGTCCTCGTCGCAAAAATAGGAAACGACTTGTCGTTGCCGAGTGTTGTGGCATCGATGCTCGGCAGCGACGAGTCGTGGAAGGCGATGCTCGACTTCTGCGAGTGCACCATCTCGCAGAAGGAGGCGGCGGGGCGCGTGAGAGACGCACAAGCCCGCCGCCGTCGAGCGGGGGCCAGGGAGGCGGATCTCGCCCTAGCCCTGGCCCTCTAAGTGTTTCGGGTCCCCCTCATATGTCGGTCTGGGGCCCGGCGAAGGGGGCCTAAGAAGACGACGTGCAAGCTGCTCTGCACGCGTTTTACGCAAGAGCATCCGGGTGATGGAAGGCCGGCTATCCTCGACCCACGCTGGTTCTGACCCAGCGGGGTATTTCGTAGGATAACCTATTCAAACCGGCGCCATCTAGGCGGGCTTCGGACAGCCTGCCGACCGAGAGGGCTGGTGGTCGTGGCGCCGACGATCGCTGGCCCGGCGTCCCGAGGGGGAGGGTGATGGGAGAGATGTGCTCCGCACTAAACGCTTCACTCTCCTCCCCTTGCCTTTTCATGAGTTCTGTCTCATGCGAGGGTTGGACGTTGGTTGTTGAGCGACAGGAGGTTTTAGTCGGTTCGACTCCGACATGCCCCACCCTCCATCCCCAGTGGAGGGTGGGAGTCCGGCGATTTCCTCCTGACAAAAAAGAGGTGCTTGTGGTCCAGTAGATAAGAAATCTGCAGTGGATCGATCAACTCTAGTCTACTGCGGTGATTCTCAAAGGGTCTACCTAAATTCGTAAAACATGGCACGTAGGAATCACGATACAAAAAAGTTTGAGGATCTCTTATTTATTGATTAACAATTCGATTTCATATTTGAGGCCCAGATGTAATTTTTTTGTATCTTATGTATGTGGCGACTGGTGTCACGTGAGAAAAACTTAGCAGATGAATAATGGCAGTTCTTGGACAATGAAAGATTAGAATCGTTTGATACGTTTAACTAGACGTAATATTACCGGCGCGTATTAGGTTGCTGTAAACAAAGACATCGTTATGACAAATAAATAGCCCACCCAGTGTCGAGTGGCCGTTTGAGCCCACCCAGAGACGCGAGGTGGAAATGTAGAATAAAATAATGGTTGTACAATTCTTGAAACTGGAATGCAGATATCGCGGTTCCAACGGACAGGGTTTGAAATTACCATATGATTTAATTCCTCGACCCATAGTGGAAGACGTTCACGAAAACTGTTTAAATATGCGGAAGCAGCAGCATATCAGCATTCCATATTTATTTTCAGTTTTTTTTTATATCCTAGGGATTATTCATGTTTCAGAACATCAATAAAGGATAACTTTTCTGATCACTTTAATTAACACTCAATAAAGAATAAGAATGAGCAAAACCTTGATGTTCATTGTCTCGGACCTTTTATTGTATGATGCGGCGTTACGACAATGGTAGAGGGTGGTGTCGACGGATTCCGATAACCATTTAACACCAGGTTATCCGTTTGCTTGTTTGTCACAATCTAATAAAAAAAAAAGCCTTTAAAACTGTTAGCTCATGTGCCTTCTTCTTCTTTTTCTTTCTATCGTTTATTCGGTCTAATGCCAGAGTCCGCTTTCCTACTGAAACTCCTCCATTTTGCCGGGTCTTCGGCATCCTTCTGGGTGAAGTTATTCTCCTCCATATCTGCCTTTACCACATCAGTCCATGTACCAACGCGAACTAAAGTTCTTTGCAGAGGGCTCCAAATTCTTTGACCTCCGCTATGTCTCAAGGTGGGTGGCGAATTTGGTATCCACCGATATCTCGTACTCCTAGATGAGACACTTAGCATAGCTCGTATAATGAATTTAAGCTAATAAAAATGTATCCAATACAATTATTCAGCTTGGCGAGTTCTTACTAAGAGTAATTCTAGATACAAATACAAATGAGTAATCTTGTTTCGCTGTATTTGTCGGTTAATAAGGCTTTGAATTTTAATGGCGTGAATAATAATCGGCGTCCTGGTTCAAGTGAACGATAAACAAACAGAGCAACCCTGACCTTGTCCGCTCGCGGCTGTCATGCAAATATCTCCGGTAAATACACTTCAGCCTAAGTATCAGTGCTAGGGGGCGTTTGGGCTCCACATTGATGAGTTCCAGTATAAGACTTAGACAAGTGTTGTACCAAAGCAACTGAGAGTACAATTTTATATTGCGAAGCGAGCAGCGCTATTCCTTTTAAATTATCTGAGCTCTGTATCCAACTATTAAGGTCAAAAGGACTCTGGAATTATTAAAATGCCGCATCATCCTCATTCTGCCCTTCCCCCAGGCACCTGGGGTCGGCGCAACATATTTTCTCCTCCCATATCACTATCATGTACAATTTCTTCGCTCACTCTCCTCTTACATATATCGTCTTTCACGCAATCCATCCATTTTTTCTTCAATCTACCTCTTCCTCTAAAGTCTTCCACATTCATATTTAAAACTCTCTTACCAACCTCATTGTCATTTCGTCTTATCACATGTCCATACCATCCCAAACGCGCGCTTCTCAATTTCTCTCACACGCACCACTTTCAGATGCAATTATTAAAATCCCTGTCTACTAGAAATCTATACTTATTATTATTATTATAATATTATTATTAATATTATAAAGAGATAAAGATTTGTTTGTTTGTTTGTATTGAATAGGCTCCGAAACTACTGAACCGATTTGAAAAATTCTTTCACTGTTTGGAAGCTACACTATTCCCGAGTGACATAGGCTATAATATGAAAAAAAATAGGGATCCTTACTAAAACTCCAATAATGTAACTCAAGGTGTAAAAAAATTACGTAAAATATTCTTTACATCGCGTGTCCTGCGAAAACTATTCATGATAGAATAGAATAATGTACTACGACTTTGTAGAACACATTATTATTTACAAAAAGTGTCGCGACAGCATGATATGTCTAACTATTATAGTTATGCCACAATAAGTGTTCTTTTATTTTAAAAAATAAAGAAACGTCAAATATCGTTGAAATTTTTGTTAAAGACCCGAGCGGAGACGGAGCGATCCGCATGTGTAAACTATAATGCTTACACGTTGTTTTGTCGACGTAGGCATTCTGTGAATTGGTTGGTTCCGGTTCACGGACATCCGTTATGTCAAGGATACAAGGCGCAGCCTCCTTATAGCTAGTCATAAAGGGAAAATCCTGTCCAAGTCAATAGAAGTTTACCTTGGTCGAAAATTGGCGAAGGGACTGGGATTAGCCCAGATCCTTGACGAATACTGTGACCAATAGGAGACGATAGAGATAACACAAGTTCAGTATTCTCTCGTATTTATGGCTAACGCTTCTTTAAACTGATGAAGAGTTTTTAATAGTGGGTAACGCAATGTTTTACCACCAGCAATACGTGTTCGTAAGGCAAGCACCCCAGCGTAAATGACTTACCATCAATAGCGACGCGTGCATGGCTGTCGCAGCCTTGAAGCAGTGTGCTCCAAGCTCTACAACGGCCCTCTTGTCTAACAACTGTACCATGTGGTTCACGTTTGATTCTAATTCCATCGACTACTTATGAATCCGCACGGGTAGGTACCACCACTCTGCCTATTTCTGCCGTGAAGCAGTAATGCGTTTCGGTTTGAAGGGTGGGGCAGCCGTTGTACTGTTAAAGCTGAGACCTCAGAACTCTTGTCTCAAGATGGGTGCCGGTATTTACGTCGTAGATGTCTATGGGCTCCGGTAACCACTTAATACCAGATGAGCCGTAAGCTGGTTCACTCATCTGAAAGCAATAAAAAAGTTTATTATTTGCTAAAGATTTGGTTTTGAGTCTGGCTGTAATTGTTCACGTCCTGAATGTGGCTCCCGGTAGGCACTCGTCACATAGGAGAAATTCCAAACCCAACAATAGACAATAAAATGTTACTTTTCATTTATTTCTATAGTTAAGCTAAAAATAAAAACAAGCCATCAATAATCATCATCATCAATAATCATCATCAGTCATCAATATAAAAAAATTGATACCTCACTCTAACAGATCATTATCGATTGCGGTCTCCAAATGTTTGTCTAGTGTCGTCACTTTACGCTGAATGTTTACAGTGATATTGTGTTTTTTAAATGTCATGTCTTTTTCAAACTAAATTTCAGGAGATTTCACGTATGACGTTCGAAAAACTCGACTAGCAGTGTTAGGGTTAATTGAGTCGACTATTATCAAAGCCGGCAATGTGACTTTTGGACAATTATTGGTAAATCAGAAAAACGAATTATTGACTTTGTATTCCATTGGCAGTCACAAAACTCTTCTGAACGACATCTTAGATAAATAACAGGTTAAGTTAATACTTTATTTAATGCAGGTTTTGAACCGTATTCTTTGAAGGAGACGATTATATTCAAATCAATCTGTATTGACATATCAATAACATTTTTTTGTCCAAATGCACAGATTGCCACCTTTGATAGTAGACGACTCAATTGTGAGTCCACACGCTTACGTTCGCCGTGAAGTTTTCATGTGTTCAATTAACTCTGATCGAGTTGGGTNCAGAACTCTTGTCTCAAGATGGGTGCCGGTATTTACGTCGTAGATGTCTATGGGCTCCGGTAACCACTTAATACCAGATGAGCCGTAAGCTGGTTCACTCATCTGAAAGCAATAAAAAAGTTTATTATTTGCTAAAGATTTGGTTTTGAGTCTGGCTGTAATTGTTCACGTCCTGAATGTGGCTCCCGGTAGGCACTCGTCACATAGGAGAAATTCCAAACCCAACAATAGACAATAAAATGTTACTTTTCATTTATTTCTATAGTTAAGCTAAAAATAAAAACAAGCCATCAATAATCATCATCATCAATAATCATCATCAGTCATCAATATAAAAAAATTGATACCTCACTCTAACAGATCATTATCGATTGCGGTCTCCAAATGTTTGTCTAGTGTCGTCACTTTACGCTGAATGTTTACAGTGATATTGTGTTTTTTAAATGTCATGTCTTTTTCAAACTAAATTTCAGGAGATTTCACGTATGACGTTCGAAAAACTCGACTAGCAGTGTTAGGGTTAATTGAGTCGACTATTATCAAAGCCGGCAATGTGACTTTTGGACAATTATTGGTAAATCAGAAAAACGAATTATTGACTTTGTATTCCATTGGCAGTCACAAAACTCTTCTGAACGACATCTTAGATAAATAACAGGTTAAGTTAATACTTTATTTAATGCAGGTTTTGAACCGTATTCTTTGAAGGAGACGATTATATTCAAATCAATCTGTATTGACATATCAATAACATTTTTTTGTCCAAATGCACAGATTGCCACCTTTGATAGTAGACGACTCAATTGTGAGTCCACACGCTTACGTTCGCCGTGAAGTTTTCATGTGTTCAATTAACTCTGATCGAGTTGGGTGGGGATGTTTGCACTGTTCCGTAACCCTGTGTGTCTACGTCGCCCAAAACACGTCATTACGGATCCTCCCGATCCATTAACGATGCTTCTAGGTACCATAAGCACCAATCACCGTCCTCGTCAAACCCATCGCTTGCGACGAAGGGCTCGACGAGCGATTAACCCATAGACACAGCCCACTGAGTTTCTCGCCGGATCTTCTCAGTGGGTCGCGTTTCCGATCCGGTGGTAGATTCTGCGAAGCACTGCTCTTGCTAGGGCCAGTCTTAGCAACACTCCGGTTTGAGCCCCGTGAGCTCACCTACACGTTAGGGTGAAGCTGAAATAGCATTTATATTAATTAGCATAGGTATTTTTTTTTATTTTTTTTATTGCCTTTGTAGGCAGACGGGCATACGGCCCACCTGATGGTGAGTGGTTACCGTCGCCCATGGACTTCAGCAATGCCAGGGGCAGAGCCAAGCCGCTGCCTACCGCTTAATACTCTCCATAAGCCTCGTTTGAAGAAGGACATGTCATAGCGCTCGGGAAACACCGTGGAGGGGAGCTCATTCCATAGCCGGATGGTACGTGGCAAAAAAGATCTCTGGAAACGCACTGTGGATGACCGCAGTGGCTCCAGGTAGTATGGATGAACTCTACTCCGGTGGCGGGCGGTGCGATGGTAAAAACGAGATGCTGGTATCATCTCGAACAATTCCTCAGAGCACTCCCCATGGAACATACGGTACAAAATACAGAGGGAACCGAAGTCCCTCCGCAGACCCAGAGGCTCCAAACGATCCGAGAGAATGGGATTAAAAACAGGGTAGGAAAAAAAAACCCTGTGCTAACCCTCTAACACCAAAGAGGATGTAGATAATCTTATCATTTAAAAAAAAAAAGTACTTCTTCATCGTGCTGTGTGAATGTGAGCAGTCTTCATAATAAGATCGGTGCGTTTAAAACAGGTGCGGGGATTCGGAGTGCTTCTTCTACATGGAAGTCGGAAGGCAGACTACGACGGGAGCCGGCGAACTTTGGATGCTCTGCGACGATTCGAACATAGCGCAGAGCATGCACTCTACTATACTACTGTGAGTATACATGCAGTTAGCGACGCCCGTATACCCTCCACTGTGAGCTTTCCTGCATGTTTCAGTGACCTCGAAGGGTCATACTAAATACACCTAGTCGCACTTTTTTCTCTTGCCTATTTCAGGGACCTCGAGGGGTCATACTAGATTCATCTAATCGCGCTTTTTTCTCCTGCCTATTTCAATGACCTCAAGGGGTCATAGTAGATTCACCTAGTCGCACTTTTTTCTCCTGCCTATTTCAGTGACCTCGAGGCGTCGAACTAGATTCACCTAGTCGCAGTTTTTTCTCCTTTCTGTTTTAGTGACCTCGAGTGGTCAAATTTGATTCACAAAACAATCGTACGAAATACGTTCATTTGTTGAAACGATCGGCACGCCATCTATCATTTAATAACCGTACCAAATCTCGAGTCAATCTGACAAAAGACGTTTTATAGCATTAATGAAATTACACAAATTAATGTTTTTTATTTTTATTTTTTTCCTTAGATGGGTGGACGAGCTCACGGCCCACCTGATGTTAAGTGGCTACCGGAGTCTATAGACATCTACAAAGTAAATGCCGCCACCCACCTTGAGATATAAGGTCTAAGGTCTCAATACAGTAATGGTACCGCTCTTACATATTCGAGTTTATCACATGAACTAATGACACATTTAGTTTCGTTCGAGCCTCCTAATACGTCGTCTAGCTTAACAGTGGTCACCTGTGGCTCTTCGCCTGGCACTTGAAATCGGACTACATCTTTCATTGGTAGATCTTATTTATACATCAATGTAATGTATAATGTTCGAAATACAGCATTGCCATGCGCTTGTTGACTTGCTAACGAGACGGAGACTTCAAATTTTTATACAGATCAGAATTAGGTGACACTTCAACGATAGCTCATTTTCAGAAGTGGTAAGGTTGAAAAAAACTTCATTGAAAATTGTCCAAACACGCAGAATCGAAATGCCTCATTACGTCGCGACAGAAATAGATAGGGGTGTGTCTTAGAATGTCACATACTCCGCGCTCCCCCTAGGAAACTTTTAGGAGGTTCGGTTCCCGGCCCGAAAGTCCTCAGAAGGTAGCGTGTTCAAATTACGTCGAGGTCACCAATTTTATGAGGTAACGACAAGAGATCACATGGTCACATCTCCAGAAAATAGCACTCGATGGAGAGACTGGTATTCCAAGGCCGGGTGGAAGGAAGGAGATCACGCGGCCGCTCACCAACCCGCTAGACTGACCTAATAAAGAAGGCAACTGAGTCCACTATGATCGAATGTACACGAAACGCTTCGTCGGACCTGGAAGCGCATTGCCTAGAGGGCGGTCCTCGGGAGCATGGGCATCTAACGGGTGCTTCTGCATATTATACAGCGCAACCACGACCATTCTAACAGGAGTGTCCAACTGAGAAGAAGAAGACAAGAGATCTTCCACCGAGCGGGTGAAATAGCTCCATAGACCGACGTATGCAAATTTATCTTGAAAATGTCGTTAGAGAGAGATAGATGTATGTCAAATATTTTTGTTCCGTAACGCGCCTACCGTCACCAAGTCATTCTCATAGAGAACGAACTACAGTTTCGATACGTCGATGGAACATATGTAATTCGATCTTGCGTCTCTTTCGTTTCCAGAGCGATGCGAGACTGCGCGAAAGAGACGGAGCACGAGCGCGACCACATCGTCATGCACAAAAACTACGAGGGCTCCAACACGCTGCCGACCAGACGACAGACGTACTCCGACGGCAAGGGTCGAGCCGGCCTCACCAACGGTAAGGGCATCTATAGACGCGTCGACTCTGATAATGTCAGTGAACTGGTATTGTACTATTCACCGATCTGTGACCGGCTTATTCTTTCAGCATACCTAGTTACTTAATTTTCCGAATTAACGTTGATCAATGAACGTAATCTATACACGGTGTATTCTACATGATTTTGTACAATTTAAAACTTGCACGTATTGAATAAGATTATAAACATTTCGTTGTAAAGCAACCCTTAACCAACAGATGGCGCTGTAAACAATATTTACAAAAAAAATAAAACAAAATAAGGACTAACATTGTCAATTGGAATGTTCTATAAAAAAGAAAGCGTTTCAAAATAATGCGTGACATTTATAAATATACGTCACATATTTATAAGTTTTTCACTGATCAATTAAACAAGGCGAAAGTTTAGTATTGGACAGATCTATTTAAACATTTTTACGTTCGTTTATCAACGCCCTAATTGTAGCATTATTAGTGGGTTATAATGAAATGCTGTCAAACAAATTATATTAGTTATGATAATTGAATAGTATTGTGGCTCAGTACAAATGTAGTTTTAGTAGCTGCCTGTTTAGTAGCATCTGTGACTAACATCTGATGGTAGCGTAGGACTGCACTTCTCCCCGGGTACATACACACTGGCGCACTGTATTCTCTTATAAGGGCGGTTTAATCTCGCTTTTATTCTATACGTTTAGCGTTATCGAGTTCTATGGTTAAAATCTAAATAAATTTCAATGCGGTAGTAGCATTTTTTTGGGTTTTTTCGATTCGTAGATATAATTAAAACTACTTTTACGGGTTAATGTGATTTACGGGCGGCAACATGTTTGAAATGCCGAAATTTCTGCGATGAAAAGAAGTAAATACCGTCTTCTTTGAAAATGAGTTCAGATTATTTGTTATAAAAAAGATTATAAATTCATTTTAAACTTAAAATAAAAATAAATAGGATCGAAATTAATAAAATTTATTCTAACATTAAGAACGGCGCGATAAATAGGGTCTAGGGCGGTATAGTGTCGCGTCCATTCATTTTTCAAATTTTGACGGTAGTCTGCAGAATATTTTTTTTCCTACCTAAGTTGATAGCCTTGAGAGGCTATTTCAGCGGAACCTTAACTAGTAGGTGAGCTCACGGGGCTCAAACCTGACGACGTTGCTAACACGAACCCTAGCAAGAGCCGTGCTTCGTAGAATCTACCCCCGGATCGGAAACGCGACCCACTGAGAAGATCCAGCAAGAAACCCAGTGGGCTGTGTCTGAGGGTTAATTTACTCGTCGAGCCCTTCGTCGCAAGCGACGGGTTTGACGAGAACGATGACCGGTGCAGAATATCATAGTGGAACAACAAAACCTGAGTAGCTCGTTAAAACTGGAAAGTATTCCAAACGTCGGTAATTGTAAAATGAATATATCGCGGCTGCGGGAGGCCAGGCTGTCATCTTATAGACACAATTTTTTTAAGGGATTTTAAAACCTGGTAACTAAGACCTTTAGGTCATGTCTTATTATGTATTTGAGAGATTAATCAACTGGGATGAAATTAAATGAAATGAGATGAGATGATATGGGATGAAATATAATCTCAGTAAAATGGTGGTCATTTACTGAGATTTTTTCAGATGACTTTTTGAAGGATCCCGAGAAGTTACGTCTAGCGGCTTTGTTTCCCACATTTGTGCACACACATATTAAACAGTTAATAAACCACCGTTATTACACATTCAAACCTGAAGATACATTAAATAGACAAAATAAAACAAATCACACAACTTCACCCCTCGCGTTCCCGCCAAAAAATCCTGTAGACACAACGGAATACTTTGATGTTTACCCGCCACGCAACCACAACTGAATTCGGTGTTGCCCGCTCTCAATAAAACTACCATTTAGTCAATTACAAAACTAACAATCGCCGCGTAAACAACACAACAATCTACCAATGATAACAAGAATAACCAAATAAATAATAATGCTGAAAATGATTTTTCATTCTTTCAACATTTTCAACGCCATGAAATAAAATATATACATAATTAAGCCTTAAAAGCGGTTTTGATTAGAAAATCTAGAATGATTTTAATTCAAAAGAACTATACTACATTATTTTAATAAAAGCGAGATTAAGTCTGTTCATTTCAAAGATTTATTGTAGTCAATACAATATGAAAATATATAAACCACGTAATTAACAATAATAACGTGAATAAAACATTTTTATTGTTATTAATAAATTGTGAATAGTTTTTGTGATTAATAAAAAACGATACCGATACGAATTTAGTGTAAATAAATACAAGTTCAACTGTGTTTATTTACAAAAGCGATCGTAAAACAATTTTGAATTTAGTCAATAAAATAAATCTGAAAGAAATATTTTGTCTCTATCAACTTGTGATTTGATTTTGTTTTAACATTGCAAGTATCAATCAATTAGCTGTTGAACGTTGATAATAATATTTTCGTAGATAGCTATTAACATAGCTTTGTATACAGTTTTACTTAAAGCGTAGATTTTTACAGAATAAGGTAAAATGCAAAACTGTTGGGACGTATTCTTAGCAGTGTCTGTTTATTCACCCACTTTAAATAATAACTTGGATAGTTTTCTAGAATTTATTTAAAATACTTTTAAAAGACAAAAATAAATGGTAGAAATTTTGCAGCAGTAATGGAGGGAAAATGCAATGACATAGATTATACTGATGAGATAGATTATACAAACTCAACAGTATCTCTCTCTATCTGTCCCATGCAATCGAAAATCATCCGAGATGGTTAAGACCATTTCCCTATAATTTCGATAAACGAACAATCAACCTAGTCTTACTGAAGGTCTTAGAAGGTTGAATTCTTCAAGTCTGTCGCCTACCGCAACAGTATGCTAGATGAATGAGTCTAGCGGGCAAACATTCCAGAGGCGGCTGGATTGTGCGTGGGCGCCTGCATCAGGCAGTGTGTCTGTGCGGGGGACGACTCGCTGCCCCTCGCCCCCCTCACGCCCCTCACCCCGCTCGCCCCTCACGGTACGGATGCCCCCAACACGCCCGCCACAGCTCGCGACGGTAACCTCTTATAGTGTGTCCGTCGCTAGCTGTACGTTACACGCTTGACAGTTGAATCTTGTCATATCGAATTAATAAAATAGTTCTTTAAAAAATGATAGTAAATTCTTATCTATGATTCATTTGTCAAGGGCGTAACTAATAATGAATAGGTATTGCCGCTTGCGCTGTGATCGATGTATGGGTGTTGCCACTAACAAAAAAACCTTCAATGCTACCAATAACAAAAAAAATGGGATGTTATAAATATGATTATTTTGTAGCGCTTATGAAATTTTATAGAACTACTAATGTCTTTTTTTTATTTGTTATTGTTTACTTAATTATTATTTTTCGACGATTCCGTATTTCTGATCTCGGATCGACTGAAAGAATTATGAATAAGTAAAAACGAGAATAGGTTAAAACATTACGTTAAAAAAAAAAAAAAACAATTTAATATCTTGATGTTTCATAAAAAGGATTGATTGTTAAGTGCCAGCTGTATAAAACAGATAAATAATGAATATGTCACCTGATACGTGCGGTTAAGTTTATAATTAACTAAATAAAATAATAAAACATTATAAACAATAATACGGAATAAAAAAAAGCATGAGCGATGCTAAAAAATATCGATGATATATCAGATTTTAATTTATTCGTATATATTATTGGGTAATAAATATTATTTCTGTTTGTGTGAGCTCTAGTAAGCACAGCGGGGGGTGAAGTGAAAGGAGTGAAGTATTCATATTAATGTTAACGGTTCATTTATTTCTTCCAGTTACCAGTTTTTATTTTATTATTTTAAATGTAAATAGTTCCGTGTGATTATACAGTATGTGGATTTTTAACAAGCTTAGCCAACCAGCTTTGGCGCTTAAAACTAACTATATTTTACTGTAGTAATGTTAACTTATTATTAGTGTACCGATATAGCTTGTAATATCGACGTTAAAAGGTAAAACTGCTAGCCATGTTAAGCCTGGTCATACATTACTGTGAATGTGAAATATTATTAAATAATAATTAGAATAAAGATTAATTTTTCGGTAGGCAGCGGTTTGGTTCTGCCCCTGGCATTGCCGAAGTCCACGGGCGACGGTAACCACTCACCATCAGGTGGGCCGTATGCTCGCCTGCCTACAAGGGCAATTTAGAAAGATTTTTTTTTATTATTGTCGGTTTTTTTTATTGTGCCCGTGAAAGAACCAAATTTTTTAATCAAATTTCTCTTGTAATAGAGAATGCTGTGTATATGAGAAACGACCTAGCACGCTTTGTCCTTTCCCCCGCTCCGCGGTCGAGTGATTTACGAGACGCTCTGTCGATTTTCTCACTCTCACACTCTCCCTAAGTTCGTATCTTTTCTCTCTAGCCGTAACGAATCTGTCGCAAGTTAAATTTTACTCTCAACGCGCCTAAAGAAGTTTCACTTCAAAATCAGTATGTCTTTTGTTTATTTTGAAGTCGGAACTGAAATAGAATTATCAGATTAGTTGAGTTATTTACTAAGAGAACAACACGGATCAAGTAGTGTTAATAGTCATATGAGTAGGTAGCACTACCACTGTCTGCCCATTTATGCCGCGAAGCCAAACTTCGTACCTCGATGCTCGCATCATAATAGTTTAGTCTAGTCATAATAGTTAGTGTAGCGGCCACCTACCTCTAGGATATCTCATCTAGGACAATAGAAATATGTCCATTACTTGATGTCTAAGATGTGTTTTACTAAAACAAATCTTGTCACATTCCCAGTATTGGACTAGTACGATATATTTCACGAATGGCTTACTAATTTATCGCACCCGTTTATTTATTCCTTAAAGTTTATAGCTTTATAAATATGTTTATTTTTTATATGTATGTATGTGTAAGAAAATTGTATGATATTGCATGGTATAATTTTGCGGGGTTTGAAATTGGGTTTGGTCGGTCATAATATATGAGATCACGATATATAGAAATGTGGGTGAATCGCACGCATCACACGACACGATGTCTCTATAATACAGAAATCAGAGAATAATCACAACATCTGTTTCATTCACATTTCAAACAATTGCGACGGCGAGCGTGTTTGTACATAATGGTATAAATTGTTTCTTGCATAAAAAGTTCGGTAAATCAAAATTATCTCTATCCGATGAAAATGTCTATTTTTCATTCTCGTTTTGACCTTTTGTCTGTGGGGCCATGAGCGGATTCACACGACATAATAAAATTTCTATAGTAGACCTGTTTTTATAAGCCACCCTCAAATAACAAAAAATAACACCATAGCAGCTTCAAAGTTAAGAAATGTCGCGCTTACTGATTTTGTAATGTAAATTCTGAGTACAGCTATGTGATAGGAGATCAAAATTCTGTTCATTTACGTTATTTGTCTCTCTCTAAGATGCTCACGTTGAGTTGTAGTTTTGCACTTGTACTGTATATGTTTTGAATTAAAAGAACATCGCGTCGCATTTAGGCACGAACCCCGCCGTCGCTCACATGTAACACACACATAACCATCGCACCGGGTGTCGCTTGGTGTCATATGTTTTACGTGTTGCTTGTCATTTGTCTTCCGCAGCCGAAAACCAAGCGCCGAATAACCCACTAACCGACAAAAAGGAGAACAGGCGCGCTCTAAAACACACTAGGACGATATCGTTGCCGAGCGGCTGTCCGTTATTCCAAGAGCCGCCGAAGATCGCGCACGAGAGGACTCGGTCCGAGCCCTTGACGGGGGACGAAGTCGATAGAGTGATCCTAGAGAAGGCCGTCTCGCACTCTTCCTTTAAAGCGATCAATGGAAGTGACGCGCCGCTGAAGAAAACGCAGTGGTCGCGCCGGGCCAGTACCGGCACGGGCTCGCGACTGCCGAAGCTGTCGCCGGCGCACACCAAGAGTATGTATCATTAGGTCGAGCATGAACTACGTGTAGCCACAATTATTTTGTTCGCTGGGCGCCTTTGTGTTATTGTTTCGCGCGTTTTTTTCCTACCCGTAAACGTAAATTAAGGTGATCGATGTGCTTACTGCGAGTTTTTTAACGTTCTCGATAGCGTAAAAGTTAACTAAAATTTGTATGGAGTTGGAACGGTTGCGGAGGACAGGAAGGAATGGAGGAACATAGTCCTAACAAAATTTCTTCGTAAAGGTCACGACCCTCACCACCGAGGAACAAACCGCACGGAGGGGGAGGGAACGTTTGACTACCTTTGCCGCTAGGGGCGCTGTTTCAATTGCATACAAATTTGAGTTAACTTTTACGCTATCGAGAACGTTAAAAATCTCGCACTAAGCACACGGGTGACATGATAGAACAATTTTAAGAGTAGGTTTGCCTTTATTCTAATGCAGTAAATACTTTATCTTTCGCGTGGGCTGCGACAATCTTATCGATTACTTCCATCGTCAGTAAATTAAAATTAGATATTCTTATTACAAACATTATCTTAAAAAATATTTAAAATATAAAAAAAAACGTTCGATACCTATATCCGATCGTTTTATAAGTTATAGTTATTAAATAAATAAAAATATAATTTTACTAAACATTCCGTTACACATTAAAATGAATTTGTGGTAACACCATGCATTAAATGTTCGAAGAGGTTTTTATTTTTTTATTTTCAATAATTGAAATTGTTTAATTAATGACTTACAATTTATTTATTTGTTAATTATTTGCATACATTTGTATGTGGAAAGGCCTCCTCCTCCTCCTTCAGTCGATCGCTCAATGCTGAGCATCGTGATGCGTCCACCTGTGACAATTTTTTTGTAATTTGTAGCCACTTTTGTCGGTCAGTGGCACAGTGAAGTGCGTGGCTCAGTCTCATGTCCAGATGCTCGGACACTTGGTCACTCCATCTTTTTCGGCTCCGACCTCTGGATCGTCTTCCATCCACTTAACCGTCACTATGAGTCTCTCCAGGTTATCAGAGGGTTTTCTTGCTATATGACCAAAGTGGAAAGGTCTAAACGAACTTTATTATATACAAATTTAAAATGCTCAAACGCATTTATAAGTTAATGTTGCCAAGTTCAACAATATAAAAACGTACTATGACGTTGTTCATGCTCATTATGCTCACTCATTCCGTAATGTTAGCGTGTACATTGCATCACTAACCCCATAAATATTTTTCCAGATTAAAATTATATAATTTTTTTTTGGCGAGATGTTTTAGCCTTTTTATGCTGCTCTAATTATTGTTTTTCAAACAGAACTAATAGCAATTTTTTTTGGCTTTAAATAATTTTTTTGTGTGTTGTATGAATTGTTTTAAAATGTATGTAAAAACGTTTGCTTGTTATGATTTATGTATAAATTTATATGTATTTAAAAATGTATCCGTTTGTTTTTGTATGATATGCACATATATTTGTTTGTATTATAAATGTTATGAAAGCTTTTAAGTTATTTTACATTTTTTTTATTGTCTGAGCAATGAAAATAACCCACTTTAAATTAAAAATGGATCCGCTTAACGCTCCTTTTAACTGTGTCAAAAAGCTTTAAGCGCTAAATTAAATTTTAGTTTTTAACGATTATGTTAAATCAAAACGTTCATATTTGAGTTTTCAAAGTGTTAATTAATTTTAATTTTCCCTTTTTTGCATCTTTTAAATAATTAATTAATTAGCACATTCTTATATTGAAATCTTTTTTTTTTATATTTAAAGGAAATTTGAATCTGACGAAAATGTGAAAATTTAGTTAACACTTTAACAATAATGATTTCTTCGTTGAATTTATGAAGATCATAAGACATCATAAATATAAAATACATGTTGATATAAATATACCAAAGTGTATTCAAAGGACAATGCCCAAAAGTGGGCCAACTTTATGTCAAAACTATTTGTACTTGAAAAACTGCCTTATTTTTTCAGCTTGTTTAGTTTATGTATCAACATTTCTTTCAACCTGGCATTGTTTTCCAAAAAAATAAATTACTTATTTGATAACATCCCAAAACTATCCATGCCATAGTTTTTAAATTCGCCAATAGGCAAAAGGCTTAGCCCATACAGTCTTGTAGCAAACCTATATGCTGTCAAACGAAAGAGTTGTTTGTGACTTGAACAACAAATTAAAAAAATATAGCTAATGCTTATAATTCACAGGCTTCTTAGTTTATTTTTGTTCAATTCAATATTTATATGTTGTAATAATTATTATTACTTAAAACCATGAATTATTTAATATTTTTAGATATTAATGATTCCATTAGTAAAAATATCAATGGCCTACCATTACTCTATTCTTATTATATATGATCAGAGAGTTTTGGCAGCAACCCGAGTGAAGCGTCACTTGAGTTTTTATTTTAATGTTTTTTTAATAGTTTATTGTGTAATTTGTATTATTTGTATTTGTAATATTGTGTATAAAAGGTCTGCGTAAACTCATGCTCAGTCAATGTGGTATTCGTCGAGTTGACGTCAAAACCCCCAAAAACCAATAAAAAGAGATACACCGGCTTTTTATTGACATAAAAAATATATAACTTCGACAGACTAGGCTTTATAGGCTACGCTCTTTGCCTGCTTATTGGTGAATTTAAAAACAACAACAACAATATCGTTGCCGGCTTCCGGATTTTCATTTCATTTTATTATTATTATGAGGATATAATAATAATAAAATATACGTAAGGGCTTATTTCTAGCAACATTAACCACAATTAACTTATTTAATACTGCAAATAATTATGAGAGCGATTATTGATTTCGAAGAAAACAATTAACAACTTAATTTTAGCTGCAGAAAAAAACAGATTTCTCTTAAACCTGGGTGAGAATATAAAAATCGTTGTCTGAATATGAAACGATATTTCTTTGTCTATGAAATTAAGTTAAAACCATCATGACAGGACAACTTTTTTTAGGGGCCCAAACGCCCATAGAAAATGGGCATTGTCCTTTGAATTTTTCTCACATGTGTGAAGACAAGACATTAATTTTTTTATTAAAATAATGTTATACACTGGAATAGATTATTTTGCTACAAATCGTGAATACGTTAACATTTCAAATACGTACAGGGTTGCCATATTAACGTTTCAATTTTATTGGGAAGTTTTTTTTATGATTTTCTTCTTCATCTTTGTTGTCTATTCAAGACGATATTATACATTTAAAAAAAAGCGTCAATTCGATTTGTTCACCGAAGTCTGGTCCTTGCTCTGTGCTGATGTGTGTGTGCGTGCGTGTGTTGCAGACTCGACGACATTGCGGAGTCGCTGCGACAGTATGCCGGCCCGCGCCTGCTCCGCGCTCGACGTGGAGCGACCCCCGCCCAGGCACTGCGATCTCGACGGTACGTTGCGGTCCAAGGGCACTCCCCAGTCCCCAAACTTGACTAATGCCCCACACGTTAACGGAGACTAAGGCTTTGATATTCATTGCCTATACTATAAATAGATGAGTCAACGTGTCATGGCCCACCTGGTGTTTAGTGGTTACCGGAGCCCATAAACATCGACAACATAAATGCTACCACCCACTCATACCGTCTCAGTATGGTTACAACGGCTGCCCCACCCTTCAAACCGAAACGCATTGCTGCTTCACGGCAGAAATAGGCAGGGTGGTGGTACCTACCCGTGCAGACTCACAATAGGTCCTACCACCAGTGATAGTGGCCGCCATAATATCCATAAATATCAGATAAATGTATGCCGCCTCATTCAGACTAAATCGAAGTCCCGTTGTGGTTTGTCCTACCCTCCAAACTGGGAAGCGCGACTGGTACGCTGCAGGGACAGTTCGGTGGGACCCAGTGTGCGGGCTCACACCACCAGTCCCCAGTGGGTCCCTCAGTCTCCCCTTATAAGGCTTACGGGAACATGTATTGGCCTGATGTTCTGTTTTGATATTAAATAACCGAGTACTGTGCATAGTTGCGTTTTGTGGCTTAAGACGCGGGAGAACCGCTAAGAAACCGCTTTTTTGCTGGTGGTAAGACCTCTTGTGAGTCCGCGCGGGTAGGTACCACCACCCTGCCTATTTCTGCCGTGAAGCAGTAATGCGTTTCGGTTTTGAAGGATGGGACAGCCCTTGTAACTATACTGAAACCTTGGAACTTTTATCTCCAGGTGGGTGGCACATTTACGTGGTAGATGTCTATGGGCTCCAGTAATCACTTAACACCAGGTGGGCTGTAAACTCGTCCACCCTTCAAAGCAATAAAAAAAATTATTATTGTAACTTCGACTTCGACGTTACAACGTTCTCCACTGTTCTCTGTTCCACCACCAGCCATCACGCTACACGTTAAATACAGTTGCATATTTTTAAAGTTTTTTTTGTGTGTCCAGGTTTAGATATAGGCAGAGACGAGGTGGAGGGCGCCGAGTGGTTGAGAACTCCTCGCATCCCCGAGGAACCAGATCCCTGTGACATGTCCAAAGACTTCATGCAGTGAGTATCTCCCGCACACCTCCCGCCGCCCCATGCACGTCCCCTCTGCGCGTCCCCCCTGCACGCCCCCCTCTGTGCGTCCCCCAATAAAGACGTGTATTTGCGGGGTACAGTTGGCACGGTCGGAGCACGGAGGAGAGTCACGCGGTGGACGGGTACCTGCCGATGACCCCGGGCCACGACCTGCTGGCCGGGCTGGTCTCTGCGTCCAGCGGATCTGTATGCAGCGGTACTCCTTCTACGGATCCTAGGTTCAGGTGAGTGGCGCATGTCCCTTCCGACACGCTCGTGTGCTCAATTTAGTAAACAACTATTGCGTCACGTAACTGTTTCACACAAATAAACGTTTTAGAAGATTATGGGCAAGTTCTATTAATAATTAAATCTTGAAGATACGTATAAAATATATGAATATGATAATCAATGGCGCTAATAGTTTGCTAAAGTGGAGGAGAGACGACCGACCTACCGGAAGAGGTGTGTTAGCCCCGCTGATGTCCCGGGACTGATGTAATAATGCCCTGTGTGCATAAGCTCTGGTGAACTAGTGGACGCCACATGGAAAATCTTTTGGCTCTGTTTTGTCCGGCATTGTTGATGTCCACGTCGGCGTGCCTTCGCTCCATCAGCGTCGAGTTGTGAGCGCTTGACGACGTGTCCGTTCTGATCCAGCGAGTACCAGCTGGAGCCGGCGACGTCTCACATCGGCGTGGAGAGCCGCCCCCCGCGCGCCTACAGCGTGGGCTCCCGGCCCGCGCGCGCCGCCCCCACCGAGCCGCGCCACCGCGCCTACAGCGCCGGCTCCAGCGCGCGCCACCGCTCGCACGCTGCGCACCCCGCGCTGCCCCGGGCCTCCGCCGAGGACCTCATGGAGCTCGACTTCTCCAACAACTCGCCCTCGAACAAGGTGCGTGAGGCCTGCTGTTTATTTAATTCAAACTTATAAGACTGTTGGGATCCAAGGGGAAGTTTTGTTGAGTTCCAAAGAGTAAACTAAGTATGTTGTTTGAGCACCTTTATTATGTCGGTTAAGCACAGATGGTAACGTCTTAACGAGTGCGTGTTGCTAAGTGCACTGCTCTAAGAATATAATTAAATAACCTGACACCACAATGACGACGCACGGCGTGTCCACGTATTAGTTAGGTATGTGCAAACCGTACAAAGACAATAATACAATTAAACCTTTCTAATGTACAGTCAAATGTCTGCATCCTGTAGCTGCCTCGTAGTCGCTTTGTAAGTCCAATGCAGCATCTACACGCTGTTGTATGCAGTACAAATACCTTTTATGACTTCACTACGCTAGTGAATAGGTAGATGGCTCGCCTGGTGTAAATCGATTACCGCAGCCAGTGGATACTTCAGAATAATTCCGCCTGCCTGCTTGGAGCGGTTGCGGTCCGCGGGCCGCGCCAAGCGACGCTGCCGCGCCTTACTCCAAAGTATCTAAGCATACGTACTCGACACTTTTTGATGAGAATGACTTCCGCGGTGGAGGAACAACATTTTATAATAAAACATCAAACCCGAACGAAAAAATTATTACTTGCCTTAATTACTGGTTGTAGTGAATCTTGTGAGTCCGCACGGGTGGGAACCACCGCCCTACCAGCTTACAAACATGATAACACGCTTACGTTGTGCAGAAGAACTGATAAGTGTAGTGGTTGCAGTCGTCGCTGCCGCACAGCCCGCCGCCCGGCGCCGCGGCCCGCCAGCGCAACACCGACGAGTACGTGGACATGTCCCCGCGCAACGCCGGCTACGTCGAGATGAAGCCCGCCACCGACGGCTACGTGGAGATGCACGCCAGCCTCCGCGCCGGCTCCGCCACGCTCTTCCCGCTCGAGCTGGACCCCGCCGACGGCCTGGGCCCGCTCCGGGAGCTGTCCGAGGAGGCCCGCCCGCCGCCCGAGCCGCACTACGTCTCGCTCGCCAACAGGACGCACGACGACGCCGCACGAGGTCAGGCACTCTTTAACCTAAACTTGCAATCATCATGCATTTATGCCAATCGTATAAATATAATCCCTGAATCTATAGAAATCAAATTAAGCGTATTAATATGATGTAAACCGTACGTCAAATCCATTATTTATTTAAGTAGCTTAAGATCATATTTTTCTTTCAATTATTAAAAAAATATTTTTGTAAAAGATTACTGAAATTCGAATATGATTGACATTAATTTTTTTGACGTGTAGAAGGCACTTACTTCATTTTACGTTCAGCAGCGGAACCGAACACGGCGCCGATAGTGGTGGCGGGCGGCGGCGGCGTGCCCGCGCGCTTCACGCTGGAGGAGGAGCCCGCCCCCCCCGCGCCGCTCAACTACGCCGCGCTGGACCTGGAGCCGCGCCCCGCCGCCTCCGCCGCGCCGCCGCGCACCTACACGCAGATCGACTTCGTGCGCACGTGCGAGAAGCTGCACGCAGCCGACGGCACGTGAACGCGCGGCGTGGCGTGGCGGGACGGGGCGGGGCGTGATGCGGCGTGCGGACTGTGTCCTTATAGTGTACATATTAAGACGTGTGTTTTGTTCGGCGCTCGGCCTGCGGCTGCGTGAACCCGTGAGCGTGTCCGATTAACTTTATAACGATCGATATTAAGTTGTCGAAAACGTATGTTGAATTACATTAATTAAGTTAATGTTTGAAACGATGGAAGTTGAAGGAGCGATGTGTCGCTTTAATTATTATTATTTTTAATATTTCACGATCACTAGACGTCGCTTGCTTTATCTTAACTATTTAATAAGTGTATACTTTTTTTGTTATTAATTTTATTACTATTATAATTCGATTTGATTATTATCAATTCATTGTATTGCGATTGACGAATCGTTTGTAAAAATATAATAGTTAATAATGACATTTAAAGGATTGAAAATTATCCTAACTCCAAAAAAAAGTATCTAAATTATAACTTTCATGTATGTGTAATCGAAATTTTTTAAAGTGTAATTGTTTATTTTTATTTTTAGAGCGATCGTGGGTTTTGACAGCGGCTAGGTAGTCTAACGGTTCAAGATGTAAAATGAATATATATATATACATTATGTATAAACGTTATATATTAATAATGCAACGGTTGTGAGAGAGGCCTAATGTAGTCGTGCAGAGTTGTGTTTCCTGTTCACAAACACCACTATTTTCTAAAAACAAACAGCATTCGATGGAATGGGAATCGAACAGTTGAGCATCAATTATCCCACAAACAGACCAAACGTGGACACTATTTATAATTAACCCTTTTAGTGCTGAGTTTATTCTCACATATTTTTCCGAAACTGATACAGGATTTTTTTAAAGTACCGCGCGTACAATTAAAACTTTACAAAAATCAATGCTAAATTCACAGCAAAATAATTTTAAATGTTTTTTATGAACGTTATGAAAACGTTATACATAATACCTTTATTCAATCGGCGCAATAGTCGGTATTCCGACGGCACTTTATGCGCAGTTATAGGGTCGATCTAGGCTAGCGCTCAAAGGGTTAAACGAAACATTCATCCGTTTCAATAGTGTGTCCATAATTTTACCCAAAACTTCTGAAGACTTAAACATATGTGGTTCAATTCATATTTTTGGTAATTAATATCTAGTGATTTATTAATAATGCTGAGTGGTTTTAATAGTGGTGCAATTGAGGAAGGTCTGACATGAAATTGAGGGCATTAAGGCTCTTATATTTGGAGCATGCGTGCCCGATATATGATTTGTACCATTATTTAATTCATACAGTGATCTTCGACGTATTGTGTTCTCGATAACGTGTAAACAGTGCAATTATTTTTACTTAACTCGTTAAAAAGTATAGTTGATGTTTGAGCAGTTTCTAAGCACTGTTGGCTTCGGTGGCTGCTATTCGATTATTGTTTAGTTTATATTATTATTACAGTTTACTGAAAAATCTGTTATAGCGCCATCTAGTTACTATCGAGTGAAACTAAGCTTTCTGTTTACGACCAAGAACTTGGCAGTTTAAATAATGCGTAGTCTAGCGTGATTCGGTTTAAAGTGAAATTTTATCAATAATGAATAATGTTAAAGTTATTTGTCTCTTTTTTTTTAAGAGTGCGAAAAGTAGTTGATTATATATTTGACATTGTTCCCTCCCGCCACTTCTGTATTACAGGTCATTCACCCCACCTACTAAAGAAGTCACTTTTAAAAATGACAATTATTGTTTAGTGCAGATAATGCGCTACTTATTCATTAAATTTACCTACTTAACGATTTATTACTGAAAGTGAACAATTTATTTAAAGTACATTGCGTTATTTTATTTGAGATACATAGTTCATAATGGACAGTTGGATGTTGTTATGCAAAATTGACCTGTTGAAATTGAATTGTTGTTTTTGGAACGAAGTTCCTTATCGCGCGTTGTGAAAGGGGCCTAGACGGAAAAAATTCTTACGAAAATTTGTCACGACACTTTTTAGATCCGTCATTCTGACCAATCAACGTGTAGGCGCTTATCGCGTGACATTGCTCGTATCCGATTGGTCCGCGTAATGAGTACAGTTTCTCGAGATAGCGTTTCAACAATAGTAATTTAGTTCATAGTATTGTTTTTTCTTCTTCATAATGCCGTAATTTATTATTATAACTTAAAAAAAATATATAATTCCTTCACTAATTAATCGAAAGGAACTTCGTTCCATCCGGGTGTCCCTTGACACCTCTGAATTTTTTTGTAAAACAGAAGGATCTCTCGCCGATGTTATTTGAGTTTGATATTAATTGTATTCTGGAGCGATATCTTTGCTAGTTTGAGTTTCCGTTCAGTTTTTTTTTTGCTGCATTTATCTTAATAGCAAATCTTCATATGAAAAGGAATTCAAAACTAATTAAATAAAAAATCATAAAATCAGAATTTACATCGTACGTTAAATCAAATTCGTCCTTCCTTAGAAGCCTTAGCTCGACTATTCAGAATTATAGTTCTTACAAAATTAACCAAATATTTGTGGCGATTGTAAGCCCTGGCTAGTCCAGTACAGTGTTGAATAACAACATCCAATGGTTCTACAGCGTGTTCAATATATTTAAATATTTTACTATTAAAAAAGCGTTGCTAATTTAATTATTTATGGTGCAAATACAATTTAAGCTCGATTTGGGAATTGTGTTCATCAAGTCATGATTACTGGTGGTCGACTACGTCTTGAGGAGAGGGATGTCTAATAGTGACCGGGCCCTACGATGTCACTGATACACCAAGGAAACTAGCCGAGGGCTCGTGAGCTCGCCAAGATTAAATCGTACTTGTAAGGTAACCTACCCAATACATAAACAGTGTAAGCCCGTCCTATAATGAACCTTCACCGGGAGCATGGCGCAGGTACTCGCACACAACCAGTTGTTGTCGGAGCCGCCTCCTCGCTCCCGATGCTTTCTAAAAATTTTATGCCCCCCCCATACATCATTTTTAACATAAAAAAATGGATTTGCGACTGCCCCCCTTAATTATCGAATTGTCCCCTTGTAGGGCGTGGGCTTCACGTTGGGAAACACCGCCCTGGGTACGTATCCACTGTCGACTATCTAATTTTATTGTCGCTTGCGGCTATCCATATTTTTGGGGTGAAACTTTTTTAGGCGCGTTGAGAGTAAAATTTTGGAGAGGGCAAGGACAAAGCGAGCTAGATCGTTTTTCTTACAAAGCATTCCCTATTAAAAGAGAAATTTGATTTAAAAGATAAAAAATGAAGAAATTCACAAAACTACACACCGCAGAAGTTTCACTTCTTTCACGTGCACCAAATTGCACGCGCATCATTTTTTTATGTTTTATAACAAATTCGATTCTGCGTTAATATACTGAATTGCATTGCGTATGTTATAAGTAGTGTATACATTAAATTTACGGTTATTAGAGCATCAGTCAGTTTGTTGCTAGCGGTGATATTTGTCTGCGCTTGAAACAGGAAGGTAAGGGTTGTATCGTTATTTCGTTACGTGACGATTTCCCTCCGTCACTTTCTAACGCAACTCAAGTTTGTTCCAAAAATATTTATAGTCGGATTTTTAATTAGACGAAGCCAGCTGACAGTAGCTAATGTCACTTTGTGAAATAATGTTGCTATATTTAAAGTAATAGTGATGCGTTCAGTTCTCGTTCAATCACATGAATGAACAATGAGTGTGAAGAGTTAATCATTAATTTCAAACTATAAAAGAATATTATTTATATTTTACAATAAAATTGTATTAAAGTGCTCCCATATATGTTACTAGTAGTATGTAACTACAATCAGTTTTTGTATTTTCATTACCTACCTTTAATTGTTATATTTTATACATCTATAGTTTCAACTATATGATGTATTGTAATAGGACAGTCTTACAAGCTTCCTCGCAATGTTTTTCTTAATGTTTAAAACACTCGGTATTCAGTACAAGTAGATACTATAGGAACATAATATTTCGTCGAAAACTCGTTGGTATGTACAAAGCACGACTAAAATTCGAACCCCGTACCCGATATCGGCAATTCGGCACACCAACTATTCACTAGACAATCGAGGCAATTTCATTAATTCAGGAGTTTTTCAATCATTCACTTTGTCACAACACTATTTTTATTTCATCAAAAACTGATAACACAGTAAACGTCAGTTGACTTCGTCTAATAAAAAATTCGACTATAAATAAATCTTACAATGAAAAGTTCGTTTAGGCAAACTAATTTCATTCGAATCTAAACCGTATATATCCGAACTTATGGTTCTGCTGTCTGGAAATCTATATCAAACTAGTCCACTGTGTTCAATATGTAAAAATTAAAAAGAAAACAAATCGTATTTTTAAATTAGAGTTACAGGTATAATTGGGATCTTTGTTTGTTTTGCAATTGAATGATTAAAGTTACGGCTTCATCAATCTTGCTATTCCCTCGTGAGCACCGACGCGCTCGCGATGTACAGAGCTGCGGCTCCCATCGGCTCACTGACCCGGGCGCACCGGTGGACAGTGTTATTACACCGGCCAATCATTCGTGCGACGTCATATGTGCTTATTTAAACGTGCATACGTATGTGCATCCGTCTCTGGTTCCACGAGGACCAAAGTGATTTGTCTTGGTTATTTATTATACTCAAAGTATTTAGGGGGCTTCCATCAATTACGTGGGGCATTTTTAAGAATTTTTCCACCCCCCGCTCCCCTTGGTGAGATTTCGTAAGGTGATCCTCAATTCCTTCCCTAATCTCACGCGAGCTTCTTCAAAATGTATGTTTTGGCTGTAAAACTTGTTGGATTTATTATTTTTGAAGACTAGCAAATATTAGTATTTGTGAGTATTACAGTAATTTAAAATCACAATCTTAAAATTAAATAATACGTTGCGCTGAGACGTTTGTCGCGACGTCCGATTTTTTTTCCTACTTATTCTAGTAACTTCGAGGGGTTATTCTAAATTCACCGAACTCGTAGGTGAGCTCGCGGGGCTCAAACCTGACGACGTTACTAACACTGACCATAGCAAGAGCCGTGCTTCGCGGAATCTACCACCGGATCGGAAGCGCGACCCACTGAGAAGATCCGGCGAGAAACCCAGTGGGCTGTGTCTATGGGGTGTCGCCCGCGTTGATACAGCTGATTGATAGCGTTCGTACAGTCGAGCGCTATTTTGCTAAGAAATAATTTAAACGCAATTTTACGCTGTTTTGGCTAGAAAAAAAAATACGTGATATTTGCTAAGATATTTCTACCTCGTCATACCATTTCAACAAAATTTAAAAAATATTAGCCGTTCAAGCGACTAATAATAATAGTGTTCAAGAACATATACTATTAATTAAATTAAATATACATTAGTAAAATGTACATTGAAGTTTAATTGGATAAGTATTTTTTATGAACACCACTATATTGTAATTATACAATGTAAGTTATACACTAGACAGACGGGCCACTGTGCTTACAGTATTACTGGAGGTCATAAGTAGATTACGAAAAATGTTCACCGGTGCTCACGTTCGGCAACCAATTAGCTAAGCATATTTCTACGAATTGAGTAACGTATACTCAAACTAAACACGTAATTCAAACCGAGGTATAAAGCCACGGTAATGTTGAAAATTTCTATATTATTATTTTGTTAGTATTAATTTTGTAACATGCAATGTATAGTCGTGAAATCAGAAGATAAGCTTCTCAACACAGAACGCGCAATTGTAATGGATCCGTACTTGCACTGTACACACCCTGTATACACGCACAGTCTGTATGAACCACGTAATTCTTATAAAGGGTGTTGATTTTGTTAATCAAAAACTAATAATTGATTAGTACGTAAGGAGGTAGGCGAGTGAGGGAGAAAACATGAATCTTATGCTTTTGAAGCCGCTTTTGGGGATTAATAGCCTTTGTCTTCTCTGTCTGCTGATGTTCCAAAGATATTGACCAAGTTATATAGATTAGATCTGTCCTGTTCGTTGCGTTTTCTGGGAAAGCAATACAATACGTGCACATAGTGATATAATGAGTAACAGTTTTTCCAAGGGCGATGTTTTAATGTTATCTGTTTCTTATACTGACCTTTGCCGACTGCTTTCGCCCCGAGGACAACGGCAATGCACTCAGCAAAACATTATATGGAGAAAAAATATTTCTTATAGCTCTCGAATGTTATCACATTTTGTTTATTACATATTTATTTGTTTGAATTCAAGGGAATTCGGAAATGGTACATAGATTCAACTTACTAGACCTTAAAACTTAAAGAATAAGGTTCATATTTTCTCAGTGGGATTTTATAATGGGATTGTAGGGATGAATTGATGTTGAAATGTGTCTCCTTTTAAAATACGCCACGTAATCTTAAAAAGTTCTTTAGACAATTTATTTACCACGGCCATCTCAAATTTTAGAATATCCGTTGTAATCACAGATTCAGAAGTAATTGAAGCCAATTATATATTCATAAACTTGTGAATTTTATATTTGAAAATTTTCTGAATAGGACTAGAGTCCGTGACCATGAAAATTGTAAAGTATTGTGTAAACGTCCAAAATAATAATGAATTAGTCTCTCGAATTTGTATTTTTGCAAGAACATTCTGTTTGATTGTTTGATTATTATTAGATTGACCTTATTATTCGCAATTGTCGTGACAACTTTACAAATCTCGGCTGAGTTTTGTCTCATCAAGTATGACCTTATCTGGGCCTTAAAAATCAGAGCAACCCCTAGATCATAAACAACGGCTACCCACTTATGACGTATTACCCACATCAAGTATCGTGATTGACGTGAAAAATGATCAAAATTCTTCATTTAGTTGGTGGTTTCAATTAAATAGTGACTCACAAGAAAATGTTCATTGAATAATCATTTTAATTTTAAACGTCTTACGGCGGCAGATCTGCCCGTTTAGGTTTTCCCGAAATGTTTTATTCCTAGGTACTCTTTATAT